GGGGGCGGGCCGACGTGGGTGGCCCGGTGCCACGGCCGCGGGTGCGATTCGCGCGTGGAGGGACACTGGGGTCTCGCGGGCGCTGGGGGAGCTGGCGTGGGGCTCGTGGAGCCAGGAGGAGGGCTGGGGCCGCGGGGGGTGGGGGCCCGGCTCAGGGGTGCTGGGTGAGTTAGGAGGGATTTTCCTCTGCAGCGTTGGAGCGGGGCTGAGCCCTCCACCGCTTTGGGCGCGATTCGCGCGTGGAGGGACACTGGGGTCTCGCGGGCGCTGGGGGAGCTGGCGTGGGGCTCGTGGAGCCAGGAGGAGGGCTGGGGCCGCGTGGGGTGGGGGCCCGGCTCAGGGGTGCTGGGTGAGTTAGGAGGGATTTTCCTCTGCAGCATTGGAGCGGGGCTGAGCCCTCCACCGCTTTGGGCACAGCGTGGGCGGCTCTGAACCCCACAGCTCACAGCCGGAGCCCCAGACTGTGGGGCTGTGCAGCTCTGACCCATCTCCTCCCCCCCCCCGCAGGTGTGCCTGCGTCCGCGGCTGCTTCTGGAAGCTCTGGGCCACTCTGCAGTGGGCCATCTTCGCCACAGCCACCGTGGGGATGTTTGCCATCAGCTTGGTGAGCGGGTGGGAGGCGTCCGGGGAGGGCAGGGGACAGCGGAGCGTGCATTTGTCGTGGGGTACGGGGAGCGGGAGACCCGGCCTGGGCCCTCCAAACCACTCCCAGCCACGGTGACGGAGCCGCTCTCCGCCGCTCCCCAGGTGCCCTTCACCTACATCGACTACGAGTCCAACGGCAAGCTGTGGCCCGGCATCCACCAGATGTTCAACGCGGTCGAACGCTTCCAGGTGGTGAACTCCTACGGGCTCTTCCGCAGGATGACGGGCGTCGGGGGGCGGCCCGAGGTGGTGCTGGAGGGCAGCTACGACAAGCAGACCTGGACGGTGAGCCGCCTTTTCGTTGAATCCCAGAATCGCTTCAGCTGAAAAAGACCTTTAGGACCATCGAGTCCAACCGTTAACCCAGCACTGGCAAGTCCCCAGCACCCCCAGGTGCTTTTCCGCCGGGCAGCTTTCCAGCCACTCTTCCCCAAGCCTGTAGCGCTGCATGGGGTTGTTGTGGCCAAAGGGCAGGACCCGGCACTTGGCCTTGTTGAATCAAGTTCAACAATCGCGTCTGGTGCCGAAGGGGCTGCAGGGGAAAAGGGCTGAACTGCGGCCGGTCGGGTGGGGTGGCCAGGGGCAGGCGCTGAGGAGCAGACTCCAGTGGAGCCGAGCATCCCCGTCCCGCTGGCTTGGTCCCCTCTGGGGCGCCCGGCCATCCCCCGTGGGCTCTGTCCCTCTGGAAGGAGCTGGTAACCCCAGGAGGTGAGGGAGGCAAGTCTGGGGGAGCTCTGCCCCCAGGGCCGCCGAGCTGGGGGGGGGGGTTGTCCATGTCCGACCTCCGTGTGCCCCCCACCCCCCCCCAGCCCACTCTGCTCCCTGCCCGCAGGAGGTGGAGTTCATGTACAAGCCCGG